AAAAGAAAAACTCCCTCATTGGTACACAATCCCCCCACACCTCCCCAAACCCCACCCCTTACCCCCAAATATAATCCACTCTGCAACCCTCATTGCGTACTCCTACGATAAAAATAATGCCCTAAAAAAATATAATACTTTTAGACTATTCTCTCCCTCATAGACTTCTTAATTGAGATTTTAAAGAAAGTTTACAGAGAATTTGGATTTCCATTCATTCAATGTTGCACATTTTCTTCCCTGCCCCTTCTGCCCCCAGTTTGCTTTTTTCTTTGAAAAAAAAATTCTTTCATTGTTATACAGCCCCCTCCCCACAGTCCACTTTAATATGTAGCTCTTATTCTGGACACTTGTCATGCCAAAAATACCTAATCAATATTTCAATATTCCTTTTATTCAGTTCTCTCCCTCATCTATTTCAGTGTCGTGTACATTATTTATCCCCTTTTCTTATTTTCCCCCCAACTTCCATGTCAGTCCTGTTTTATAACAGTATTTATTTGTCTTTTTGTGACTGAGATATTTCACTCAGCATAATATCCTCCATGGTTACCCATCTGTAGAGTAGTTAATGAGTTCTTTGTTTGTCATACTATTAAGTTTTAAGTGAACGCCCAAATGTTCAATTCTTCTTTGGTTCAAAAAATTTTTTTTTCTTTTAAGCCCCTAAAATTGCCTTAAACCCCTTTTTCTACTTTTTTTATTGTCTGCAATAAAAATTGCTCTAAAGTGTAACCTGAACAAGAGAATTCTCATTTTAATAAAATCCAGCACATCAGACACTGACTTATACTGCCACAATTACCTTTAATGCTTCCACTTCATATTTCAGTCTTTGGTTATCAGCTTGTAAGTCTCTATTCCTCTGTTCAGCCTGTACCAACTGTGCCTCCAACTCTGCTTCTAATTCTCTGCTTCCTTCCTGGAATTCCACTAGTTCATCTCGAGCTTCCTGGAAGCTAATCAGAAACAAAGTGGAGAAAATTAGAGAATAAATCACAAGGATCATCTAGAATATTTAATTCAGATTAGATATTTTAGGCTAGGTCCCAATGTTAATATTTATAAACAAAACCAAACTCCTTTCCACTGAGTGTATCCGCATCCACAGTAACTTGACAGGGCAGAACAGAACTGTCCCAGGCAGCCTCCCAAGCTAAAAATCCATAGAAGATGTAGACTCGGGCTGCCACCTTTTTCTCCCACAGAGTGGCAGCCACCTTTAGCAACCAAGAGCTTAACTACTGCACTAAGACTCATTAATTCTACTTTGGAATAGGCAGGTTTACAAGTGGATCAATATCATTAACTCCAATAGGAGAGAAAATGCATCATTTTCATGAATTCAAATTTAGCATCTCCTTCAACTGTTCAATAGAAATCACAGATATTTCATTCACATCACAACAGAGTTGCTGCAGATTCCTTTAAATATAATTTCTTCTCATCACCAGCCTGAAACTGACTTTCAATATTGTAGGAAGCCATCCTGAGTACACCCCTCTCCATCTCTGGGACTACGCCTACCTCTTAAATCAGCACCTGTATATCAACACCTAGGGGCATGCCCCTCCCTCTCTTTTGTAAACTGATAACCTAGGGCTGGGTTCCCTGGCAGCCCGGCCTACTCCGCTGCCTATTTATAGCAGAATTCATCGAATAAATTTGGGCTTGATCAGGAATCTTTGTCTTGCCCCAATCTCTCGTGTCCCTGCTCCTCTTTTAATCTGCACAGGTTCCACTCTAGAACACGTATGAACCCGCAGGTCGGTTTCAGCCGCGGTTACACAATATAATTGTTTTCCTCTGTCATTGTATTATTCCATCTTATGCACTTAAAAATATTATTCTAAGAATACTAGTCCTCAGGCTATTCAATAGCACACACACAAATAAAAAGATTAAAAGTCTCTGCCTTAGCCATAGACCTTCTATATCCACCAGTACAAATATATTAATTAGCTTCTTGATAACCATGAAATAGCTATACTAGGTTTAATGAAGCTTAGCAAATTCCATTAATCAAAGTAGGAAAATACACCAAATATTTTTAAAAGATTGCATTTTAAAAAACTTAAGCCATGCTTTGGCGCTTAAAAAGTTACAAATGAAAAGTTTTCCCAACTCAGTAAAATAATTTACATTTTCTAACTTGCTCTATAACCTCTGAGCTCTTCTCCCTACCACCAGCTCTATACCTGCTCTAGATACTGAGAGCATCTGCCTGAAGAGAGTAAGTATCTGCTGAATGGAGACCTGAACAGCTTATCAGACTCTCCAAACACCCCAAATAAGCAGGCAGAATCCGTGTCCACACAGCAGGCCAAGTGTAGTAATAAGCAGTAAAGGTAATAAACAAAAGACTTAAGGCATTTTAAACAATTTAAACATTAGCCATGTTACGGCTATTTCTAGAATCCTGACTCCTAACCTTAAAGTCTAAATAAATGTAGCTTTATGTTTAAAACAAAACAAAAGTCAGACATGATATGGTCCATATGCCCTCTCTGTTTTTACTGTGCTGGTCAACATTACCTTTGTTTATACTTCAAGGAAAGTTCTTTCCAATAAGCAGTTTCCTCCTTTAAACTTGAAAAATCTGGTATATCTTCACCATCCATGATCAAGAATACCTGTAAAGTATTAAAGACAAGCAATAAACTAAACAGAGAACATAGGAATCTACATAAAAATATAAAACCTTAACTCTAAATATGTATTTTGGAGAGAGTCAAACATAGAAGATTCTTTATAAGTGGTTAACTAATATCTATGAGGCAAATAACTCACTCTCTGAGACCATTAATACTGTGGATGAAATAAGATTAACCAAGTCTCTTACGGCACTTTTGGCTATAGCCACTGGGTGCATTAACCCCACAGAAACATCTTGAATACAGGGCTCCAGAATTTGATATATGGTCAGTTGTTAGCGAGTTTTACTGATAGCTAAAAGGCAAAATGTCTGCACGAGTTCAAATCCATTAGCTGTTCCTCCAAAGAAACATGCGGAGCCTTCTCATGATTTACAGCCTCAAAAGCAAGATAAAGGGTCGTGATGAGTTACAATTACTTAAGAGCAGTTGAGTTTTTGAGGTCTTCTGAGATCCAAGTGACAGAAACAAGTACACTGTAGAGTAACTGCTACTACAAGTCAGTTTCTGTTGTACAACTGCTTCAAGTCCATGTTGGAAATGTTTTATGCCAGGTAACCCTACTAGAAAATTAAACATCACTTTTCCAATAATTACTACAGTGAACCTGTGAGAGAAAGCCTTTCAAAGGACTGCCTTCTTTTTCCTGGTCTTACAAGTTTTCCACCTTTGAAGTGTACTGTACTAACATTGTACATTGCACTCTATTGGTGGAAAACAGCTCTGTGTTCATTCTCTGACAGGTTTCCACCTTGCACAGGTTCCTATCTTTGCAGGTTTTGTGTCATTATCACATTCCTTTAAAGCTCTCTGATAATTATTTTTTTAAGTCTGAAGCTAATTCTTCAACTTCAATGTTCTTTCTGCAAAATGACCATGGCCTGGATTAGGCGCACCTTAATCTCTAGACTGACATCATTGCTTTTCAGCACTCTGGAGAGGTCCCTTACAGCTTATTTTCCCAGTGCTATTCATTTTTTATTTCCTGACTGCTAGTGCTAAGAGTGCACCCAACCCCCATGTATCAGAGATGATGAGGATGGTGCAGGAGAGGTCAGGATTCAGGTTTGCTGTTTACAGGGAAGCTATGAGTAGTACTCAACTTGACAGCACCTAACAACATGTAGGAGTGCATTTGCACTCTGTGTTCCCTATTAGGCTCTGTGTTATTCTTATTAATTTCTATTCTAGCACAACGCCTACATAGGAGATATTTAATAATAGTTACTGAATTAAATAAAAAAATTATTTACACTAATACATATATTATTGAATATATCCTGGACCGCTAGGAAAACAAATAGATTTGTCCTAGAGAGAGTGAGACCAGGCTGCTCCTTGGTGGCAAGGATTCTGAAGCTTTATCTGATATAATTTGGACATGCTGCAAGACAGAAATGATCCTTGGAAAGGGACATCGTATCTGGGAGGGTGGAGAGACAGCCCAAGAGAGGAAGACCCTCATTGAGATGAATTGATTCAGTGACTAGGGTAATGGGGAAAGCTGTGTCAGAGACAATAAGGTGGGATCAGGATAAAGCAGGGTTTAGGTCTGTTGTACATAGGGTGGGTCGCTATGAGTCGTAGGCGACTCACTGGCACATAACAACAACAACTGCACATACTGGCCAGCAAACACTTCAAGACTACATGAGAAAAAGTTTGGGGAAAAGATATAACAAATATAATTTTACAATATTAAAAAACGAATGTGGTTTCATAAATATATAAATATGCATATAGATATATATGTACATATGTGTACATGACACAACATGGGTAGCTGAAAAGAAGACCTGTGGCACACAAAAACTATATAGCCTTTGGTATCAATTACATACACTTCAACATAAAGAAAACCATAATCTTCACATCTGTCAAAGATTTCATTTTACACCTATAATGGGAGAGAACAAAATGGATGAAAAGGACCTTCTAAGAATCAAATTCCTATTCAAAAAATACTCTGACAGCGTAACAAGGAAACTCACAGACTGAGAAAAAATATTTAGCAATCACATATCTGATAATGGAATTCTATCTAAAAGTTACAGAATACTGCAGCACCTCAACAAAAAAAAGGTTAACTACCCAATCACAAAATGGGCACAGATATGAACTGACACTTCACAAAAGAAGACATTCAGAGAGCAAACACATGAAGACATGTTCAAAATACCTAGCTATCAGAGAGATGCAAATCAAACAACAAATGCTGGTGAAGTGGTAGAGAGATTATAACCCTTATTCACTGCTGACGGATGTAAAATGTTACAGTTACTATGGAAAGTGGTCTGGCGCTTTCTCAAAAAGCTGGAAATACTGATCCTTTTCCAATTCATAAGCATGATGATTGGGAGTTCATACTTCTGTATGACATGTGCCACCTTTTAAACCATGTTATGACATAGGCACGCTGCCTATCTGACATGAAAAAAAGGGGGCGGGGGAAGCTGGAAATAGAAGTATCATCTGATCCAGCAATTCCACTACTGGGAATATACCCTAAAGAAACCAGAGCCATGACTCAGACAGATGTATGCACACCTATGTTTATTGCTGCATTATTCACAACAGCAAAAAGAAGCTACTCAAGTGCCTATCAACAAATGAATGGATTAAAAACTATGGTACATTTCAGCACTGAAAAATAACGATCTCCAAACATTACACAACATGGGGGAGGCGGGAGGACATTATCCTGAATGAAATATCTCAGTCACACAAGGACAAATACTGCATAACACTGTTATAAATTAGGACAGACATGAAGGGCTTGGGGAGAGAATGGGAAAAGAATAGATAATGAACAATGAATTAGAATAGACTGGGGAAGAATTGTCTGAAAAGAATATATGATTAAGCATCATATGTATGAGAACAATCTGGAAGAAGAGGTGCATTTAGGAGTGAATTGGGGGAAAAGAATGTTCAACAATGAAAAAATAATAAATTATTAAAAAATAGGAAAAGAAAAATATTTCCTTTTACTTAAATCTACAATCACCACCTACAGAAGCAGCAGTCAAGCAATCAAACAACATATTGCACTGTATAACTACTGCAAGCCTCAAATAGCTGAACAAAGAAATTCCATATAGGCCAGCTATTCCACTGCCTGGACTATACCTTACAAGAATGAGAACTAAGGCACAAATGGAGACTCATACACCAATGTCCATAGCAGCATTACTCACCATCGCAAGAACATGGAACCAGCCCAAATGTCCAACCATAATCAAACGGATTGAAAAATCATGGTACATTCACATGACGGAATACTATGCAACACACAGGAACAATAATTTTTTAAATTACTACCTACCTTGGGTGGAACTGGAGAGTATTATGCTAAATTAACTAACTCAGTCCCATAAGGACAAATATTGCATAAGGCCATTATTGTAGAACGAGTATGAGGACCCAAGGGGGGGAAGGGAGGAAGCAGAAGGTGGAGGATCAAAGGAGGGAGTGTTAATTATAGGACTGCACAATGTGATGGGTAGAGGGCAGGAGTGAAAAAATGGGAAAGACCTTGTGTGAAAAACAATGTATACAAACTTTGCAAATAGACCAGTAATAAATAAATACATAAATAAATAATTCTAGTAAACCCTAAAAAAAAAAAACAACCCAAACCAAAAACCTGTTGCAAGGACTTCTTTAAAGTACTAAAGAGCGAAAGTGTTCCTGACCCAAGCCATATTTTCACTCATTTCATATGTACGTGAACATTGGACAATGAATTAAGACAAAATGATGTTTTTGAGTTGTGGTACTGGCAAAGAACACTGAATTTTCCATGAGATGTAAAAAAAGCAAACAAATTTAACTTGGAAAAAATGCAACCAGAAATTTCCCAAGAGGCAAGGATGGCAAGACTTCATCTCACATTCTTGCTGCTGTTGTTAGATTCTGAGTCGACTACGACTCATAACAACCCTATGACAACAGATCCTATACTGTACCATCTTCACAATCCCTGACACATTTGAGTCTTTGGTTTCTTCCTTTCTCCTTTCAGGTGACTGCAAAGACTCAGAGAAAAACTATAGAACCATAGTGTCATGTACACTGAAACCAAAAGAACTAGCTTCTGTCCAATGCCTGCTTCCAGGTGTGATCAGGAGACCACAACAGATGGATTCCCAGAGAAAGGGAGAAAACATGGTACAGTACAGAACTACTGCACTGGTTAAGACTAAAGGCCGCCCAGAGGCCATTCTTCAGCTAAATAACACTCTAGTTAGTTCACTGAGCCAATCAGAACCCATGTATACGGCACTACTTTGAAAAATCACATATTATGAAACTACACGGTCAAATATTCAAGCAAAAATGAAGACATTAAAGTAGTAAGGAAACAAGATTACTGGAAACAGAGTCCAGAACAGAATCAATGAAACATTGGAACATTAGGAAAACTGTAACCAATGTCCTTGAGCAATTTGTGTAGAAATTGTTAAATAAAAACCTAATTTGCCATTCAAAATTTCACTGAAAATATAATATTGTTTATAAAAATAATAAAAACTCAAGATAAGCTTTAAAAATAAACAGGAAATAACTTCGAATTACAAAGAAGTTGGAAAGTTTAGCAAAAGCTCAGTCACACATTTGAATGGCCAATAAACATAAATGCTCAAGACCATTAACTATTACAGACACAAATCAACAAGATATCATCTCACCCCAGCAACAATGGCAAAATTCACTAAGACAGTAAATAACTCAAGTGAAGGTGTGGAAAGGCTGAGGGGAATGCAAAACAGTACAACCATTATGGAAAGCAATCTGGTAAAGCAGGGAAAAGAAACACCATTTGATCCAGCAATACCACTGTTGTTTGTGCTAACTGCTGTTGAGTATGACCCATTAGCAACTCTATGAACAACAGATCTGAAAACCCTGTCCTATCCTGTTCCATCCTCACAATCTCTGACACACTTGAGCCCACTGATGTAGTCATTATGTCAATC